AATGAAAGAAAAGTTAATTAAAAGTTGATTATGAGTTAAATTATCTTAAATTTTGGGGTATAAAAAGATTGATATGACTTATACTATTGTATAGAAATTTATAATATAAGAAGTGGAGAATCATTTATTATTCTCGATTTAAATGAATTTAAAAATAGGTATTTATGAGCGGTAGGAGCCCTAGGGGATAAATCAGGGAAAAGCCTAAGGAGGAAATGGGGGGGGGGATTTTAAGGGAAAAATTAAAAATTGGGGAGAAATAGGGGAGGTCTTTGGAGAGTTGGGGGGATTTTTTTGGAGGGATTTCTGGGGAATAGGGGAAGAATTGAACTGAAATATGTATACGTGGGCTGAATTTTAAAAGGAGAGATACAAAATGGGTGTTTGAAATTTGTGCAAAAGTTTAATATATTGAGATGAATTTTAAAAGGAGCGATACAAAAGATGTGTTTGAAATTTGCGTAAAATTTTAATATATTGGGATAAATTTCTTAAGCACGAATATTATTGGCAGTTGTGGAGTATATATTAGATAAAAAAAATTTTAACACTTATAAATATTAGTCGATCTTTATTTATATGCAGGTTATAATGTTTAACGTCAAACGATCAAGCTGAAAACTGTTTACTGGGCTCAAAACATAAATATATTTTATTTTTGTATATATCTACATTTTACGCATGTACTTAATAAGTAATGGCATTAGAAATTTATTATAAAAATAATGATTTAACTGTTTTAAAAAAATGACTCAATTAGGACAAATACCAAAAACGATAAATTATAAGCTTTTTTTAAAATTGATTTCATTTGAAAGAGAATTGTTGATGCAAATTTAACTAGAAAAAACTTTCGTGTATAAAGTTCTAAATTAATGATATTTATTCGCCTAAAAATTATCTCATTTTTTAAATTTATTTATCTAAATTCTTTTTGGGAAACTATATTTGCAATATGCTTGATTTTATATGTAAAATAAATGTTATTATCAGTTTTTTAAATTTTTTTTACATAAAACTTAAAAAAAACATGTAAGGAAAAGGAATGAATAAAAATTACAAAATATTGTAGCAAAATAAAATTAAATACGACAAAAATAATTTTAAAAGAAAAGATATTGAAATCTTGTTTGGGAAGATTGTTATACCCCCTATTTTGTTTTATTCTCCATAATACTCCAAAATAAATGGTCTACGAGCATTGGAGAAATGGGTACAATTTTTTACAAATAAAGATAAATCCCCAAAAAGATGTACGTTATCTATTTTAATTTTACTTTAATTTGTCCTCTTAAAACTATTTTTTTTTACATTTTTTTATGTATCCCAATCATGTACTTTTTTAAATTCTTTGAGCTTAATTATAAACCACTTATCACTCAAAAATACAATGCCTTTTTAATTTTTTATGCCATTTCTTAAAATATACGAAGCCAAAAAATCGTACTTTTATTCATTTAACAATCTATCAATTATCAGAAGTTTTTTGAAATGATTTAAAAAACATATTTCCATGGTTTGCTCATTTTTGATGTATATGTTTCATAAAAAAAAAAATTGAGAAATGTTAAACCATTTAAAATCATTAAAATATTTATTTAACCTAGAGAAAAATATTTTTTTTGATTAAAAGTAAAGGCAATATTTGAAACAAATATAATAAAAATAGATAAAAAATCCAAGTAGATGTATTGAAATATATGTAATAGACATTGAATTTAATAGGTTGATCTTAGGTCAGAATCTCTAAAAGAAATGGATGGAAATATAAATGTGTGGTATTAGAAAAGTATAAATTTTTTGAATAATAAAAATGTATCTTTAAATGAATCAAAGTTGCTTGACCAATTTTACAACCTTAAATTATTGTTTATTTAAAATAAAATGATCATTCTAACCATATCTAATTGACGAATGTTATAATTCAAAATGTATAAATATATATTACGATATATTGAGATACACTACAAATTATAATATTAATTAAAATAAATTATTAAATTAAATTAAGAGTTTAACAGGTCCTTGGGAATACAACATATTTTTTGTGAAAAAATGAATCTTGATACAAGATACTAGTATTTTTCAAAATATCAAAAAGATACAAGATAAAGATACTTGTATCTTTTGCTTAAATAAAGTATCTTAAATACAAGATACTTTTAAATTATCATTACCAATTAAATTAGAATAGTTTATAAAATACAGTATTTAATATTTTGTGAAGATAACAACAATTTAATAAGAATGAATATTTAATAATTAATAAAATATTTAATGATGGGTTAATTATAATAATCAGGCATTTTAACATTAGTATTAGCCCATGCATATATTGAAAAGGGAGACTAGTATTTTTAATGGGAGTTAAAAAATTAATTTGCAAAAGAATATTTAAAATCATTACTTTATATGATATCAAATTTTTCATATAATTTATCATTAGACCTTTGCATTTCTGCGTACTTAACATTGTGCCAAAACTAAATAACCTTTCAATTAGAGATGATGAAGGTATTGCAGTATTATATACATAGGCGTAGCCGGGGGGGGGGGGGTAAGGGTAAATCCCCCCTTCAGAAATTTATCACTTTTTGTGAATATCATTTTAAGCTAATAAAAATATTCCCCTTAGTTCTCCCCCCACTCCCTGACCCTTAAAAATGTATGAATATATCTTAAACAATAATTTGAAAGAAAGAATGTAAAAGTTGATATTTTTTTATAAAACTATTCATCATAATTTATACATTTTTGGAAAAAATAATTTATATATAAAAAAAGTGAACCAAAAATGTTTTTTAAAAATGGAATATAAGCCGAAGATAAGTCTTAAAACAAAAGTGAAATGTATTATAATTATTAATAATAGATCCATATAATTACTAAATAATATAATATATCAAATATAATTTTTTATAAAGTGAGTAATTTTAATTTATTTATCTTAATAAAAGTAAAATATAATTATATAACTATTGATAAAATTATCATAAATTAGATAAAAAAATTAAGGCACAATACAAACAGTGGAAAATAATATGTGGTAGATTTACAGTATATCTAATTTTATCAATTATCATATGACAATCAAATAATTTTTACCATTATAGCGAATTATATATTTTACAGAAAACTATAAAATATTGATAAGGACATCAGAAAATATCTTTTAAAGACTATGTGGGATGAATAATATGAAGATTAATTTTTAATATTTAATTTTATTTAAAATAAATAGAAGGCGTTAAATAATTGAATGCAAATTGTTGCTCTATTTATTATCAAGAGCATAGATTAATAAAATTTGTTAAAATATTAAGTGTAATTCAAATATGTCTGTAAAAGTGGAATTTTACCTAGTATTTTGTAACCAATTCTATATAATAGAGGAATATCAACCATATGTCTACTAACTTTTTATAAATAAATTTCTTATAGTTGTTGTATGGAATAAATTATTACCATGCTTTTATATTAATGTATATACAATAATTTATTATATCTTATATAAACTAAAAAATATATTTAATATTTGTTCCAGGCTTATTTTTTTTATTAAAATTAACCAAAAATATTTAATGACTATATATAGACTAAGGTAACCTAGCCGAAGGCCGGGCAAAAGCGGGCCGATTGCTCGCCCAAAATGGAATCTGGGGGTGAAGCCCCAGAATTTTTTTAATTCCCCACCCCCCTTAAGAAAATCCTGCTTACGCCTATGATTATATGTATAAAAAATTTAATAGAAGGATAATAATTAAGCATTTATAATGTATTTCAACTTTCTCATAATATAATTTAAAACCTCCAGTTCAATGTTATTTGTATTATTGAATTTAGCAACATTTGTCAACAAAAGAAAAATAACCATCATTTTCTTTATTAGATGTCAAATCTATTGTTGTTATAGTTTGAGCTTGAACTGGTCTACATTTAGGGCTTCTTTTGTTAATATATTTTGAAAGTATTTTTTTTATCATCCGACTCAATCCATAAATACCTAAAATATAGATGAGAAATTGATGACAAAAAAGCTTCATTATATTCCATAGGAAAATATTTTCTCAACATTTTTTGCCGATATCATCTTGGACAGCTTTTAATAAAGGTAAACAATATTGTAAACTTAGATTTTTAAGATAGCTTATGCCCCTTTTTGTGTTTAATCCAATGTACCATTTTCTTGTTTATACAGGACATCTATCCTTACAATGTCTTTTTTAACTTTTATTTAAAAAAAATTTCTATATATGGGATTTGATTCAGGTGAACTTATTTCTATAATATAAATTTTACCTTCTTCTTCACTCTAATGTGTTAATCATCTTACAAATTAAAAAATATTACACAAAATTGGTAATGATATTCTATCGAGTTACATTTATATATAAAATATAATCTTTACTTATTTAGTTTTGGTGTTGTTATTTTTTTTATCTAACTACCTTAATATGAGTTGTAAATTTTTCAGCTAATTTTGGTTGCAAAATATTTAAAATATGGCGGAAAAAAAATATGAAAATTAATTCAAGATTCTCGAAGAAAATAAGATATATAATGAAATATGTAAAATTTTAAACATGAATATTAAAAAAAATCTGTATCTGTTAAAATGAAAATAATACAAGATTCTTTTCAGAATAAAGGATCTTAGATAGAGATACTAGTATCTTATCAAAAATGTCAAAAAGATACTGAAAAGATACAAAAGGATCTTGTATCTTAGATATAAGTATTTGCAGTACTCCTCAACTCTGATTATAATAATAACAATTAACATTAGAATATCGAAAGACCTTTTTAATAGCAACATTAAAAAAGGAGCAGTATGTAATTATTTAATTGTTGTAATATTATTTAGTGTAAAATAAAAGATTCTATAATCGTAATTAATATAAAAAATATATGCCGGCCACACTAAGAAAATATTTCAGATAATTAAACAAAACATTTATAAATATTTAAGCAATCGTAGAAAAATCAATCAAAATATTTACATATATTCGACAATGATTGACACTTGAAATCGTGTTAAGATAGTTTGAAGAGAATCTATTTTTAACACCTGTGTATATGGGAACAATTATTCCTTTTGTTGAGCAAATTGAATTCTCAGAGCTTAATATATTTGAAGTAAGCCATTTAAGATAAAATATCATATATTATTTATAAGATAGTAGGACATGGGACCTATGGGACAGTTCATAAAGCTATATGGAAACACAAAGTAGTTGCTGTTAAGATGTTTGAAGACAAAATGGAAAAGAAATCGTTTATATCAGAAGTATTTATCATTTGTTAATTAATTTTAGTTATTTTTTAAACTTATTTATAAATATTTATAATCTTAGATACAACAATTATCCCGAGTTAACCATCCTAACATAATTAAGCTTTATGGAGCAAATACTAAGTCAATAGTAAATAATATGTTTTGAGTATTTAATTAAATATATCTCTAAAGGTATATCTAGTTATGGAATATGCAGAAAATGGATCTCTTTATAACAGTAATATATATATCAAATTTATTATATGTTAATAAAAATTTACTTTAAAATCATTATTTATAATATGATTATAATTTTAAATATATTTATGATAAAGTATTGCATAGTAATAAGTATAAACCAGAATACACAGCATCACATGCTATCAGCTGGGCTCTTCAATGTGCCAGAGGTGTATCATATTTACATAACATGAAGCCCAAACCAATCATACACAGAGATTTAAAACCTTTGAAGTATTTTAAATTTATATATCTTTAAGTATAATTTTTATTTGTTCATAGATATCAATTTTTTTCTATATAATAAAATTATAGCTTGTTATTAATTAATGGTGGAACAGTGTTGAAAATATGTGATTTTGGAACTGCTTGTGATTTTCATACTCACATGACAAATAATAGAGGGAGTGCTGCATGGATGGCACCAGAAGTATTTGAAGGTAAATTAGTATATTTAATTAATATAAATTAAGTGGCACTTATTTTTTTTACACACTGAAAAACTTCATGGTTTTTTTTCCTAACTTAAACCATGTTTTTTGTAATCAGATTCAAACAGTTGTTAAAAAAGAAAGATTAATTAGTGTATTTTATTATTAATTCATCTCATATCAATTTTATAAATATCTTTTGCTAGTGTTGTTAAATAGTCGAGTTCTCCTGACTCTGAGTCATGAAAACTGTCGTGACTGGAGTTTTGAACTTGAGCTGTGAACTCAATTTGGCTTGAATTCTGAAATCAAATTATTATTTTTTTTGTTGGCTGTCAAAATTAATTATATTATTTAATCAAAATTCTTATCTTATCTTATCTTATCTGGCACGTTGGTCATAGACCTGCCCAAAATGAGCGAACGTGAATTTTATGAAGGCCCACCCTTCATAAAATTATGCCGATTTTTTTTCTCAAGGATACCAACAAACCTTGTCCAGTTGTAGTTTAACTAAATGAGTGGAACTTACACTTTCCGATATTGTAATTTAATAATTAATTATAAAAAGACATATATCTTATCTGTTTTTTTTGTCTTGAATAGTTATGTTCATGATAAGGAGTGAGTTAAGAATATTTGAATCCATAGACATCAAAATTTTATTTCATTTGTTAGGTTATATTCTTCCAAAAGATGAACCGGAAAATCTTCGCCATTTGGGATGGATAGATGAAAAATCATTTAATCAAAATTATTAAACCAGTAATAAAGACTCTTTTTTTCATGACTAAACTACGAATCCCAAGGTGCTAATTTAAAAAATTAATATTGAATCATGTTTAGCTCTTCAAGTGGATTCAGAAAATGATAATATTAATTATTTTTAAAAAATAATAAAAAATAAAATATTGAATGAAATTATGAATCCCTTATAAAAAAAACAAGAATTTGATAAAATTAATATACACAGTTTATTCAGAATTTATTATTAGGAGAAACTTGTGTAAAACATTGGTATTTTACCCTTTTCCAGGGCTGTGCCGATATTAAATATCGGATCGGCCGATACTCAACGTTTTCCAAAAATATCGGATCGGCCGATACTTAACGTTTTTCAAAAATATTGGATCGGGCCGATATCTGTAAAACCCGATCGATTCGATATTTTACTTTTCTTTTTTTTTATTATTTTACGTATATTTATTTTACATTAATAATATCTTCTAAATAATTTTTTTTAAATAATGCAAATGCACAAATTTTATTTATTTTTTTAAATATATTCTTAGTATTTTGAAAGTTTTTTTATAAAAATAGAAAGGAACACTCAAAGTTTTATTTATTTAAATATTTTTAAATAATAACGCCAATTTTATTATTTATATTAGTGATCAGCATCGGGCCTAATTTTTTAAGCCCGGCTTGGCCCAAAATTTTTTTAAAAAAGGTTTTGCCAGCCCGGCCCTAACCCGATTTTTTTTAAAAAAATTTACCGGCTCAGCCCGATTTTATTTAAATATAGAAATTAATTTTTATAATTACTCAAAATAAAAGACATATGTTATATGGCGTTTAGTTTCAATAAATAAAATCAAAAATTTTTATTTTACATAAAAAATTCAATATAAAATTGATAAATTTAGATTTAGATATATTTAAAAAAATTCCAAAATCCGACCCGACCCGGCCCGAATTTTTTTAAAAATATTAGGCCCCGCCCACCCGAACCCGATTATTTTAAATAGAATTAGGCCCAAGGGTACGGGCTGGGCCTAACTTTGCAGATCTCTAATTTATACCTTAAATAAAGAATTTTTTAAAATATGGTATCTGAATTATGGAAGTATTTTACAAAAGACAAAGATAATTTTGCAAAATGCGTTATCTGAGGAATTCTGATATCACGGGGAGGAATAATGAAAAATTCATTTAATACTATCAATATCCGTAAACTTTTTTTAATTATTGTAGTAATAAAAAAATTAAATTAAATGCATAATTAGAATTTTGCATAAAAAATATTGATTTCTTAATTACATTTGGTTCAAAATGGGTGGCGAAAAATCAATACAAATATCGGATCGGTTTTGAGCCAATATCGGAAAATATCGGATCGGGTCGGATCGGCGAAAAATATGTGGATCGGCACAGCCCTACCTTTTTCCATAAAATTTTGATACAAATAGAATAAATTATAAATTTATATGTAGCCATCATTTACAAAAAAAAAGTTTAGCTCTACTACCTATAATGCTTTAGGGACTACAATTAATTATGTGAAGTATGACATCGCTATTTTACCCCATAACACAGGGTAAGGTGGTTAAAATATAAAATTGAACATAACTTTATTGGTTTATTCAACAAAATATTGAAATTTGACATCCATTCATCACTTTTAAGTTTAAACTAATCAATACAATATGGGGATGTAAAATATTTTATCAAAAATAACACATTTTGAGTGTACCCATCTTGGACCATCGTACATAACAATTATTTTTTCTTACCCTTGCGAATATTTTTTAAAATTTTATTCCAAATAATACACACCCTATTTATTAATTAATCCTTTTTGTCCAAATCTTATCGGGCCTAATTTTTCAAACCCAAACCGAAATTTTTTTTAAAAAAGTTTTGCCGGCCCATCCCGAACCCGAAATTTTTTTAAAAAAGTTTTCCCGGCCCGAACCCGAATTTTCGAATTTATTTAAATATAGAAATTATTATTTATAATTACTTAAAATAAAAGACATATGTTATTTGTCGTTTAGTTTCAATAAATAAAATCAAATATTTTTATTTTACATATAATATTTTTATTTTACATAAAAAATTCAATATAAAATTGATAAATTTAGATACATTTAAAAAAAATTCCAAGGTCCGACCCGATCCGGCCCGAATTTTTTTTACAAATATTAGGCCCGGCCCAAACCTGATTATTTTATATAAAATTAGGCCCGAGCCCAGCTCGAAGCCCGTTCGGGCCAGACTCGGGCCGGGCCTAACTTTGCAGATCTCTAATAGACTTAAATATTTAAAAATCATCTCTTTACAGCTTTAATCAGACGGAATATCTTAAACGTTTTACCCATAACAATTTTACCCCAGCGTGATATATATTATGCAAGTCGTGCGTGACTTATAATTAAGCTATAAATGTCCGATAAATTTTATTTTATAGCTTTGACTTTAAGGAATATGCATACGAATTTATAAATTATGAGCTTTAATATATTTTACTTAAAACAAAATAAACTAGGTGATTTTTTATAATTGGAAAAATATGTCAAACTAGGAAAATTTTTCAAAGATAAACTTAGGTAAGAAATTAGATATAAAAATACATCTTCAAACCAAATATAAGGTATTTATGCTCACATTATTACTCTGTCAATCGTTTTATCTCGGCCTTCCCTAATCTAATACAAGATTCAACAAGAATGAAATAATTGTTTGAGACTTTTTCAAAAATTTAAATGGTTGTTACAACCTGTAAACTTATTCAATATCAGATACTTACGTATTTATTCTGTTTAATATCGATTGGAGGAATACCAGATTCGTTGGTATATGGGCTGTTAGATCTGAAAATTATATAAGATTATTAAAACTGTTGATAAAACAAATAATTATAATAGTTGGCAAAAATTATGCTGATAGACATGCATATCGAGAGGTACCAGATAATTACATACTAGTGAGTATGATAAAAAAAACATCTAAGCAATTAATTCATTGTCATACTGGAAATTCAGTATATGAAATATATGCATCATTGATCTCATTAGATTATCTTATGAATTTACTATATTTATTTGGCTTCTCACCAAACCGGAGTGTTCTCATTCTCATAGATAAAAATGTAAAACAACAAATTTTGTTCTTTTTACAAATGAATCTTGTTCTTTAAAAACCAAAATTAAATTGCCAAAAATGACATTTCAGGAATATATAAATGACAACAATTTTTTAAAGTGCACACAAAAAATATAAAAAATAACGATTTTTTTTTAAACGTGGATTTTTCTTTTTGATTAATCTTCCTTTTCTCTTGAGACTTTTTCTTTTTTGATAGGGCCTTATCCTTTTTTAATTGAAACTTTTCCTTTTGGGAAACCCTGTAAAATTGAAATAATACCAATTTTAATTCCCTATCTATCTTATCTATCCTTCACTTCTATCTTTTCTTTAAAAAGAAACAACTTATTTTTATACAGCGATTCGAACTGAACCCGAGAATTTCCTGAACCAGGGTATCATTGTATTGCTTAAAATCATATAATTAATTGAGATTTTATAACATTTGAAGTTTTATTAAATTTTAAACAACTTAATTCATTTACGCCATTTTTAAAATTTTTAAATTTATTCTCAAAGTTTCCTATTGAAGTGTTAATAAATTTTAAACAATTAAATTCATTTACGCCATTTTATTCTCATAGATTATTAATTAGAGGAAAATGAAAGAAAATTATTATATTGGATTTTAATTTAGAGAATTTTCATATTCTAACTTAAGAAATGTTAAACAAAGATATGTAGGGCAGTTTTTGTAAACTTATTAAAATCATTTTATAATTTATATATGCTAATCATTTATTTTTTGTTCAGATTAATTTTTAGCATATATTAATGAAGTGGATACTATAAATGAAATTAAATGTATATATCTGTTTTTTAATTCTATGAAATCATTGCTATTTAAAAAATTTATTCTTTAACTCTTTTATTTGAAAGTTTAATAAATGTTCCTCAATTCATCATTTTGCTATATAGATTTAAGCTCAAAGATAAAATAATATTTGAGAAGCATTTTACACTTGATACAATAGAAAATAAATAAGTATGCTCATATTAATTAAAAATGTCAATAATCATTTGTCTATTTAGAAAGACATCTGGAAAGAAATCACAACAATGAATATCTAAAATACCAGGAAGTGTTATTTGCAAAAAAACCCAAAATTAATATAGAAACCTTTTTTCCAAAAAAATTTATAAATATAAATTTAACAGCTAATATAAGTTCTATCTTAGAACTTGTTAATGTAAATGGTCGACCTCTGAAGATTCGGGATTTCAAAGAATCATAAGTCAACTTTTATCTGGGTTCAATTTAGTTATTAACAAAGAAAATTTATCCCGAAATATTAATAGAACAGTCCAGTTCATTAGGGACAAAATATCAAGAGAGGTAAGTTTAAAAGTTGATGCAGTTCAACGACTACACAGGTCAGTTCTTGGTATAAATATTCAATTTATATCAAAGTCCATTATAATTTTGAGAACTCTTAGAATTGTAGAGCTGAATGAAAGAAGTACAGGAGAATATATAAAAGAGATAATACTAAAAACTTTACAAAAATTTAAAATTAATAATGAACCAATTACTTATGACAATTGTGCAAATTTTATCAAAGCTATTAAGCTCTTGCAGCCTGAAATTGATTATGATATAAGGGGTGAATCAGCAGATGATAAAAATATGGATGTGAATGTATATAAATATGATATCGATGATATACAGAAACTTTTTTATCAACTATTTTATCCTATCTGATTTATAGTGTACATTGTGCAGCTCATAACCTACAGCTTGCACTTCAAGATTCAATAAAATTATCACTCATTGTGTATACTCTTGCAAAAGCTAGTAGCTTAAATTTAAAATTAAGACATCCCACTTATCAAAAGTTATTAAAAATTATGAAACTCCTTAAGCCTGCGTTAGATTGCTATCGATGGCATTCAATCCATGATATGGTGCATTGAACTAGAAAAAAATAACCATTTTTCTCAATTATTATATTCTTGTCTAAGAACAGAGAAGAAAGGTTTATAAAAAATGAGATTCTTTTAGCTGCCATATACCCTGACCTAAGATACAAGATTAATTAAAAGCTTAGTAAATTAATTATTTTGGATTTATATTTAAATTGTAATTTTACGGAATTGCCATTTATTTAAATATAAACAATATTAATCCTTATTAAAGATGATGATAAATTTGTGCGAATGTCAATTTATGGAGTCGGATTAAAAGATAACAACGCCGATTTTATCTGATGATATTAGTTCTGATGAAGTTATTGAACAAGAAGATGATCTAGAGAAATTGATAAAACTTAAAGAAATGCAGGAGAAAATACCATAACGATTGTAGAGAAAAGTATTGGAAATAAGAAGGAAAATATTTCGCATTTTTGGGAGTGCCAAGCTGGAGTACCCTGATTTATATATTTTATTCAAAAATTAGTTGCTGTTTTTGCAACCTAAGTTAATTTATCATATTTTCATATAAATATATTTAATATAGGTAGCGTTCAAAGATATTTTCACATTTAAAATTCATTCTTTCATCACATTGATCGAGGATGAGTGAACAGCTCTTGGAAGTATTATGCTAAAACGTCTAAATAAAATTTTTAAAATTGATTCATGACTATGCTTTGTATTTTTAACTATATTTTGCCAATAAATAAAATAAAAAAGTTTATTTTTTACACCAAATTTGTATCTAATTTTAATTTTGAATTAAATATAGAATTTTTTTATCGAAAAATTCTTAAACCCGAGCTGAACCCGGAACCAAACACGGGTTCAAAAATATTTCCCTGGAACCCACCTATTTTATTTTACCTTAAACTGAGCCCTGGCAAAAATTTTGCCGAGTTCGCATCTCTGTTTTCTTATTTAAATAAAACACTGCTTGCATACATATTCTTATTCTAGGTTGTAATTATAGCGAAAAATGCGACGTTTTTAGCTGGGGAATCATCTTGTGGGAAGTCATTACCCGTAAAAAACCATTCGAAGAAATCGGCGGACCTACTTTCAGAATCATGTGGGCTGTCCATAATGGTAATTAAAAAAATATGTTTATCATCTCATTAAAAAAACGAGTTAAAGAAAATAATATAATTAATAATAAAATATAAATGTATAAAAGATAATTTCATCATTTCTTCTGAATGTCTCTTTATTTTAAAATATATTAGAGAAATGAAGAATGAAAGAAAGAATATAAACATAAAATTTATTATATCTTACCTTCGAATATGGATAATAACTATTGAAAGTATCTCTGCTCCTATAAATAGATTAGATCAAGAATAAAAAATAAAGCATTTGAGATTAGAGGTCTGCAATTGGCGGGGTTTTAGTCCACCTGCGCCATCCCTTACTTCGAGCAGGCATGATGGGTTTTTAAAAATATTTTAAACATTGGGCGGATGGCGGCCTGGATAAAAAAATTTTTTAAATAATGAGCGGGCGTGGGCAGGTGATTTTTAAATATAATTTCAAAACGAGTGGGATTTTTGGCTAAAACCCGCCTATTTTCGAACTCTATTTGAAATCCCCAAATAATTTAAAAAAAAACAAATTTTGTTCAAATAGGTACCAGACCACCTCTGATAAAACAATGCCCCAAGCCTATAGAAATATTGATGACCAGATGTTGGGATAAAGACCCTAGCACAAGACCTTCTATGATTGAAGTCGATTACGTTATGACTCATATATTTCAAGTTTGTGATAAAAATAATTAAAGAAATTAGGAGGGAGAAATAAGTAATTAGGGAAAGATAATACCTCACAATGAATGAATGTTTGAATTTGTTTATAAATAAATATTTTTTCAATAGTAAAGTATTTTATTTTCCAAATTTATACACCACGAACAAAGTTTTTTAAAGGGGCTGACGTTCCTTTACTATTACAACCCGATTTTTCTGATGACGACCGAACTTGGAACTCTGAGCTCGATTACTCGTCTTCCAATTCGTCATCTTGCCAATCAAAATCTAATTTAGAACAATCGGTGACTAAGGAAAATATATATGATTCACCCAAAACTAATGGTTCTCTTATTTTTCTTGTATTTATAAAATACGAATATAATAAATAATAAGTTCTATGCGTTATAAAAATTATTAGTTTAAGATGAGATGTGAAATTGATCTTACCAACCTTAAAAAAAGACTAATTAGTATTGAAAAACTAGGACACGTCTTATTAACTAAATATTTTCTGATTGGCCTATTTCAATGATAATAGTTGTAAAGAAAAAATATTATCCATTTTTCAAGTTAAAAAAATATTGCTTATACTTGATAGTGTAACGGCGTTATTGTTACTTTTTAAAGCAAGGTCATTCTAAATTGTTTTTTTTACGATAAAATAACTTAATTAAAAATTAGCAGAAATCGAAGAATCTTGTCAAACCCCGGTTTTTAAATCATTCCTATCGATCGACAATATAAATCACATGATCAAGCCATGCGGTAATACTCGCAGAATTTCGGATTATTGCTACAGAGGTTCTTTTAAACAAAAATTACATCCTCCTTTGAGTATAAAATGCGATTTGGAAAATGATATTGATAAAATATCAATACATAAACGATCTTCCAAAAAACATTGCTTATCGCTGGACAATCTGGATGACTTGAATCGTAATCTAATTTTTTTTATAAAAAAAGGTACCTAGATTTATTATTTTTTTAAATTATTTTTTAGGACTTATTACTTAAAATTCTAAAACATTCTGTTAAATATTTAAATGGTTTAGACTTTATTCAACATAGCTAATTAATAATACTGATTTTATTTTAACGGTTCATTAATAGGAAAATATTAGTACTCTATATATTTTTAAAAGATTTCATGGTAAAACTATATTCAAAACAAATTATTAGAAATTTAATGATTTTGTTAAATTTTTCCGAATTATTAGTTTTTTGCAGTAAGTAGGCCAAAAGTTGATTCAGGATATTTATAAATTACAAACAACAATTTATATTGCTTAGGTGATTACCCAGATCTATATTGGAATAATTCATCAAAAAAACTTAAAGAAAATAAAATGGAACTTATAAAACCAAAATTAGGGATACTTTATGCTCAAATAAGAGAAGTCAATGCCGCACTCCAGCAGAATAACGCTCAACTTAAATTCTTACAAATCTCTCCTACAAAAGTTTTACTTTCATTTAATAATATTTTTAAGGTTGATTTATACTAATATCACTGGACAAATATTTTTTATTAGTATTTATATATAAATAAATGTCAACCTATTTTTATAAATATTAGCCTATTAAATTTTTATATAGGAAATTAATTCTGCCCAAATAATACAAGAGCTTCGGAAGGAGAGAGATGATTTGCAAATATATTACCAGATTTTAATCGAACGATTAGAAGAAGTGAAGTTAGAAAGTCACGATAGCCAGAACAAAGAAACAGACGTTTGATATATTTTTATATAATATTTATTGACCAATTATTTAAAAACAATTGTATTTAAATTTAGTATTTTATTTCATTACTTGAAATTTAATTTATAAAAATAAACGGTATTTAAATTTAATATGATTGTGGAGTATAAGTAGCATGACAGATAATATATAGGCCCAATTCAATAAAAATAATCGAATAGTGCACTATTCGTATTCGTTTTATTATAAAAAAATGAATAATTTAATATTCGATTTAAATATAATTCGTCTTTACAATTCATTATTAACATATTTTTAAATTTTTAATAATTTGTTTATTTATGATATTTTTTTTTCTAACAAAAACTCTCATTATGAGAGCATAAATTATGTAAACAACATTCTTTATATTTTGTTCTCATTCAATTAGAGCATCTTATAAAAAATAAATACTCCTATTTTTACCGTTTTTTCGAACAAATTCTCATTCGAGCATTTATTAGGGAAAAAATTTTCACACTTAAACTTATTAATTATTCACTAAAAGTCATAGGAAAATCTATAAAATTATTTAAAAAAATTTCTACAAAATTTATTTGCATAAAATCAGGGACCCGAACCTTTATTCATAACGGTTATAAAAATTCATGAAATTTATAAAGATTCTGTTCAGCCTTATAAAATAGATTTTAAATTATTTTTTATCGAAGCAACACAGTCGTATATGATTTTAATTAATAATTATGAACATTATTTATTAAATTTCCAATCACTTAAGTAAATATATTGTTTATTTATAAAATAGATGAAAATAATTTATATTTATTATAAGTATCTATGAATACTATATAAAAATTTTAATTTTTATCCATTTTAACCTTGATCATAGAATTTAATGACTGCTCAATAGAAATATTATGGCTAGATTCCGTTGATGGCAAAATAGATTTGAAAAGATTTATCTTTTTTATAGTTAGGGATACATGTTCTTTAGAATGAACGGACTGGGTTAACTGGTGGGGACCATTTAAATTTTTTCTAAAGAAAAATAACATGTTTATTTATATCATAAATACAATAAAAATTTAAGGTCAGAGCAAACAAATATTCTAAGATTATGAATTCACCATAAATTTGTATAGCCACATCATACGAATGTTAGTGATCTGCATTGGGCCTAATTTTTCAAGCCTGGCCTGAATTTTTTTAAAAAAAATTTGACCTGCCTGGCATGATCCCGAACGAGTTTTTTTTTATTTGTACCGTAAAGCCCGACTCAAAATAAAAATTACTTTCCGCGCGTCCTGATTCATATAAATATAAAAAATTGAATATTTTTTATTGTAAAAAAAAATTCTACATTTAAATATTAGCGCTTTGTTTCTAAAAAGAATTTTAAAATATATCAATTTATTTGACAAAATGTAATGATATCATGATTTGCAGATATCTAATGGAAATTATTAGTTTAAAGATATAAAATTCCTCACATCTAAGAAATAATGTAAAAACTTTGCATTTAAAGACAACACAAAATCTATTTTTGATAATAAAGGCTATAATACTAATGCTTAAAATATACTCAATTACCAATATTCAATAAATAATATATAAAATTAAACCTTATTGTTGTAATTGTAAACCAAATTACAAAGCCGAAGGATATTCAAATCTACTCAAGAAAAAAGAATTAAATTTCGAATGCAAATGATTTAAAGAAAGAGGAATAAAAAAGAATGATTATTCAAATTAAGATTTTTTCAGTTTGTTTGTAAAACATTATGTAAATGAATTATAGAAAAGTATATATATATTCGAGGATATTTGTAGAGATCATGATTTTACGAACTTAATTATAATTTTTTATTATTTTAATTTTTTTTTAATTAATTTAGTTTGATTATATTTTTAACTTATTATTTAATAAAGAGTTAGTATCATTTTTTTCTAACCTTTCTTATTTGACAACGATTATAATCTCTCAATCCTTTCAAAACTACAAAATGTTACAATGATGTTGGAGAGTGGAGGCGACAGGGCAATTTCAACAATTCAGTCTAATTAACTCTCCCACTAGCCTCAGCAATATAAATATCAATCCCATATTGGTACAGGAGATTCTAAATAAAGGGGGAAGGGGATGTATGAAATGACGATCGACACAAAGACAAAGAATTAGGTCAATGAAACATGGTGTCAATATCAATGGTCGTAATTCGAAAAAGAATAGAATTAGTCGTTTAATTAAAAGGAATTCGTCACAAGAGATCGTTATACGTACAAGTGATCGATGTAGCTAAAAGAAATTCGTTATAAATTTTTATTAAAGATATATGGTTGACTGTTATTTAAGTTGATAATATTTAGCAAAATATCAGGTTGTTGATTAACCAAAAAATCTTCATAAAGAGAAACGGCTTTTCGTCATTAGAAAATTTATGCCGCAATCGAGCTCAATTAGAGATCGGATTTTTATTTTGGATCAAAAGATACAAGAAATCATTATCGTATAAGAGATCTTAAGGCAAAGTGGATATATTGACAAGAAGACCAGAATGCTATCGTTAATCGTTGACAAATTATAGCCAATTGCTTATCAAAACTTTAGTATAGGAGAAAAAATCGAACAAGAAGTCGTGGAAACCATCGTTACTCGCAGACAAATTATCGTCAGTGGTTTACCGTCATTAGTTACTAGAAACCGTTAGAAACAAGCAAAGACTAGGATAATGTGGGAGTAAAACGAGATATAATTAAAGGAGCTAGAAGAATGTATCGGGAACCATGCCTTACTCGCAGAATGGTGGGACTAATCTAAGTGGAAGGGTGTTGTAATTGTAAACCAAATTACAAAGCCGAAGGATATTCAAATCTACTCAAGAAAAAAGAATTAAATTTCGAATGCAAATGATTTAAAGAAAGAGGAATAAAAAAGAATGATTATTCAAATTAAGATTTTTTCAGTTTGTTTGTAAAACATTATGTAAATGAATTATAGAAAAGTATATATATATTCGAGGATATTTGTAGAGATCATGATTTTACGAACTTAATTATAATTTTTAATTTTAATTTTTGATTATTTTAATTTTTTTAAATTTAGTTGATTATATTTTTAACTTATTATTTAATAAAGATTTAGTATCATTTTAGTTCTAACTTTTCTGATTTGACCAATATTATAGAAAAATATATATAATCGAGGATATAAGTCTGATTTAGTATCATTTTATTCTAACCTTTCTATATTTGACAACGGTTCTAATCTCTCAATCCTGTCAAAACTACAAAATGTTACACTTATAAATTTGGTCATTTTGAAATTTATATGGGAATATGGCCCTTCTTATCTGGGTAGGTGGTAATATTATATTTTAATTAATTAAATGCAACTAAATCACTACAAATTGGTTATTTAGATATTTTGCATATTAAAATAAAGAAAATAGGAATATGGCTCTCTATAAGAAGCATTTGAAAAATTGTGGATCAATTTAGGTCATGAAAAAATTAATACATCCTTCATATGGATATTGAACAAATATTTTGATAATTTAATAATTATAAAATAGACTGATACCTTAAAACGACGTGAATATATTTAAATATGTAATACCACTAGAAAAAGAATGTAAGCGAAAAATATATAAATATATTTATTATAAGTTTCGAACCGGTTCTAATATAAAAAGGTTCCTTTTATACCGTCGAAAAATAATTGTATCGGTTCGGACGGATATTTATAAAGGTTTAGCGGTTTATTCAGGTTCACTCTGGTCCCTGCTTATAATTTTGTGCATCAATGGTATTGAATAAAATTATATAAAATAATCGAAGTAATTTTTTTTTTAATATACAAAAAAATAATCAATAAACTTATTTTTGAATAAAAAGAAAGTTGTTTTTTTATAAAAAGAATAAAAAAATATTCTTATTTTTTTATATATGAAGATAATTTTGCTTTATAAGATTGGAAAATAATGTAGAATCAATTTTTTTTAATGAAAAAGATTAAGAATGACATTAATTAATTTTCTTTTCTAAAATGACCATTATTATGACATCTTGAAAATGCTAAAAGGAAATAAGTCCATTGATATAATATATATTAATTAAAAAATGAAAATCGCATGTGCATAATAGTTGGAACTTGGAAAGAACATATTTTATTGACCCAAGTAAAGAAAGTTAAATAATGAATTTATTAAATTTCTCAAATATAAAGGTAAACAATAATAATTTAACATTTTGATAAAATTATTACTTAAAATTTTTTTCCATTTTAAATCTATAGATACCTGTGAAGGATATTTTTCTCATGTAAAGGAATATATAAATCCTTGCTTAGCCATACACCCATTAATTATTAAATTAACTAAAAAAATTTCATGTGTATATATTAATTGTCAAATAAATTAATATTTTAAGATAATTTTAATTAATTTATAATATACTTTTATGCAATACTATTGATGCTCAAAATTATTTTATAGAATTTTTAAAAATTTTAGATATTCCACTAACTTTTAATGAATAAATTTAAGTTAATGTAAAAAAAAATTTTTTTTAAATTAAAATGCTCGTTTTAAATGAGAATTAGTTCGACAGAAAGACAAAGATAGGGTATTGATATTTTTATTATTATTTTTATATGATGTTCGAATTGAATGAGAACAAAATATAAAAAATGTTGTTTACGTATTTTGTGCTCTCATAATAAGAGTTTCTGCTCTAAAACAACGGCAAACTCTGTATATAGGACTATATATTAATAAAAAATGTATCCGCTCTATAAATAACACATAATTTAACACCTTTTTTTTGTATCGTATCTTTTTATTTAACAATTGTGTTCCCACTAAGGAACCATAATTATTTAAGAATTTCGATTTGTATTTTTTTGTCTAATATATAAAAATTCTTTCGCTTTTTTGGAGGAAATGTCTAATTTTACCGCCAAGATCTTTTAAAAGCTTAAATGTTATAGGAGAAAAAGAACCGCCAAAATTTTATTAATTCTTCATTCTTTAATCTTCAGTGTGAATTTGATTAATTATTCTTTTTTTTTGTTATTTTTAATTTTCTTTATTATTTTTCCGTTCCAATCTTTAAAAAAGATTATGTATAATAACATAGTAATAAATAAATTAATTGCCAATTTTAAATTTTCTAATATATATTTAAAAAATATCAACATTCAAAAATAAATTATGATTTATGTTCAAACATATAAAATAAACACTTATAAAACTATTGGCTCAGTATCATAATCATAATAGAATATTTTATGGAAAAACGGCAGTTGTTAAAATAATAAATGCATTTTTTTAAATATTAAATCCAGTAGTTAATTTGCTTTATTCCATATATTTTTTGATTTTGTTTTTGATGTACCTATAATAAAAAGTTATATGTTTACACAAATATAAATATAATTTCTTTTTTCAATGTAAGAAATATTCTATTAAAATAACAACCCTTTCGTGCCTGTAAAGTACACATTTTCAAATAATTTATTCAATTTTTATTACATTATAATGCACATTAAAGTGGCATATCTAGGATTTTGTTTGGAGAAAGAAGGAGGGGGGAGGTCAATTAAAAAATATACGGTGCCTACTAATACATAATTTTGAGACAGCGATAACTTTTAATAGCAATTACTTTCTAGTTTACAATATACTTTAAAAAATAGGAAAAACCAACCACATATTTATATTCCAGTTCTTTACACAGATTTATTTATTATTATATCTAGAGTCGGTGTAAAGGATAAATATTTAGGAAGTATTCATCCCATTTGATCTGTTTTTTATAATATATTAAAATATTAAAGTATGAAAAACTAAATAATATATATAGACATATTTGGGGTATTTTCTTAAATACGTCATAAGTTAAAATACTCCGTTCTGTTATAGCAAGAAGTATAATCCTTGACTAAATATTTTTGGCTGGATCAGGTTTAAAAACATACATAATTGTATTCTCTTCCTTCATTAAAATAAAACGATTTTATTAATTTTTCTACTTTATAAAAAATGCGTTTAATTTATATATTTTTTAAAATTAAAAGTTTCAGATTGGATTTAAAATTATTCGGGAGGCTCGAGTCTAAAAATGAATTTAGAAAAATAAAACCGGCCGAAATGAGGCTTAAAAATGAATATAAAAAATTCGTGACATAGTTTGAAAGATTATATTCGAAAAATTTTAGGTAGGATAGCTAAAATCTATAATAAATTTTTCTTGTTTTGAATCATATATAGTTTAGTGATGTTAAAAGTTACTTTTGAAACATAACTAGTTACAGTTACTAGTTACATTGGCAAAAACATAACTAGTTACAGTTACTAGTTACATTTTTACAAAAGTAACTAGTTATTAGTTACAGTTATTTTCAAAAGTAACTAGTTACTTACTTTATACATCCTTCATATGCGCATTATTTATTTATTGAATGCATTTATTTAATATAAAAAAAATTAGGATAAACAAAGTATAATCAGTTATTTAAAATAATATACAATTTATTTATATAAAAAAATATCGCAAAATTGAATATTTACATAAAAATATATATTTGCATTGAAAAAAAAACATTTATTTTTCATAAAAATTAGAATCTAATAAATGTTTATTTGCTTTTAACAACAAATTAATTTCAAGGTTATTATCTAGGAGACGTGCTCGTTTATCTCCAAAAATGAGCTTACCTAGACTGAATAAGCGCTCTACGGGAGCACTTGATGTTAGAACAACATTATATTTAATAAAGAGTAATTTTAACTTTGGAAAATCGCTATATAAAGAAAAAGTGTTGTTATTAGATTTGATAAAGTTTTCTATAAGTTCATTATCCAGAATATTTTGGCGCTTTAGGTCAAAAAATCCAACTACATCAAGTGATGTTGGTTTTGAGCATGATTCATTCGTCTGGGATTCACTTTGAGGTATTAAGATATTTATTAAATTTAAAATTTCCTCCTTTTTTGCTTTATTCCTTTCTTGCCTAATCCAAGGCCAGTCAGTTTTAAATAAAGGGTGAAGAATTGCAGCAATGATGTTGTCATTATCATAAAGATTATTAAACCTATAACATGATATTATTAATTTATGAATAATTATTTGATTTTAGTTATCTTTTTTCAATACTAGCTAATATAGTATCCTTTTAGGTTGACAATATTTTAATTCCTGCACATCTGCCATACATATAAGTATTTGTGTTATTGTTGGGAACAATCAGACATTTTCACAAAATTTTAAATTAATAAATTAAATTTAAAAAATAAATTAAATTTAAAATTAATTTATCACAACATATTAAAAATAAAATTAATTATTTGAATATATCTTTAAAAGTAACTAGTTACTTTTGGTAGTTACATTTCAAAAATTTTAACTAGTTACAGTTACTAGTTACAATTTTTAAAATATAACTAGTTACAGTTATTTTTTAGCCAAAATGTAACTAGTTACAGGCAACTAGTTATAAGTAACTAGTTACCTTAACATCACTAATATAGTTACTATCTATCATCCATAATTTAGAAGGTACTTCATTTTTTTTTTTGAAAAAGGAATATTTTCATTTATTCGGAATATCCTAGCTTATGCTGCTGTCACAGAAAGAGTATTTTCTCTAATATATGAAAAACGGAGACGACCAAAATAAATGTTCAACTGAACTGACTAAAAGAACTAATTTATATTAAAGAAATTGCTTCTCGCTAAAATTTGTACGACCAGGTAAAATAAAAATGATCAATATTATTTCTCTTCAAATATTGAGATTACGAATTTAATTCATTTTTAAAAATTTCTTCATTCAAATTTCAAAGGTGGCCAAAGGTAACGTTGCATTTTTTGACATATATCACTTTCTAATAAAGATCAACTTTTCATTCGCAGTTAGGTAGGCTATGGATATCAATATTACGGCCTAAATAGCAAAATTCTACAAGATCTTTTATATTATTGGTATTTTATTTCGATAATTATATTTTATACAAGTTTATTTTATAAATGCGATTCTTTATATAAGTAAATACATCTATAATCAGTACACTATAATTTTCCTATAATTTATGTAGTGTTTTTCAGAAAAATATAACAGTGATATTATGGTAAAAGTAACTGGCCTGTAATAAGTTAAGGTTTGGAATCTTATCCTAATCTATTTTTCTACCATCTTTTATATTTCTAAATCTCAAATAATTAAACCTCTTCCAATGTGTATGATCTAACTCGCTGAAATTTCCGTTGAAATTAATTGCTATAAATTCCAAATATTTGCCCAACCATAATAGGTCTTCGTCTTGTTGTTCATCGGTATGCGTATTATGGAAAGGGTAAATCTTTAAAAAAATATATAACAATAACAAATTTATGATTTATTATATAGTCCAACGTAACTGCCAAAAAAATTTATGTTTGCAAAATAAAAATACCATGTTAAAAAGACTTATTCTATATTATATTTATCATAAACAGGGATCTGAACCATAAAGGATAGTTGGATTTAGGTAGAAATAAAGGTTAAATAGTATTTATCAACTTGATCTGTCAGACTATTATTTCCAGCCATTTTTATAAATGATTAACACGTAACAAATTATTTATCAGCAAAAGATATAAAAATAAACTCTCAATCCGTTTTGCGGGTTCATAAGGAAATTTTTGCGACAATCATCAACAATAATTGAGTTTTGAGGTGTGTACTTGCCCGGAAATTTTCCCCATATAAAGGCTAAGGGCTTTACCTATTATGGTATAAATAATTTAACATTTAAAAGTAAAATATAAGATTACTGGTATAATTCTATAAAAGTTGTATAATGTAATAACCAGGGTTGTGCATTTGACCGGTCAAATACTTTCGGTCAATTGACCGATATTTAACCGGTCAAACCGATATTGGTCAAATTCAAATATATGTTTTTTTAAGTTAATATTAACTTTATTTTGAATATAATAGTAAAATGAATCTATATTATTCATTTCTTAAATTCATTGTCATTAAACGTTTAGCTATCCGTAGCAGATTCTTGTTCTGATTCATATTCAATATTATTATTTTCTTTAATATTTTTTAATCAATTTTCCTGATGTCTTAGATCTTCAATCGATTTCTATTTTTATAAGAATATTAACCCAAATCGACCTATTTCTTTCTAAAGAAGAAGTAGAACTAGGAATTATTAATCTCTTAATGGGCATGGTGGACAAAGTTTAATCTATTAACTTGAGGTCGGAATTGATTGTTTTTGGAAATCACTACTTTCCTAATTCGCTATATTAAACATGCTGTTTTTTCTTCTGAAATTAATTATATCACTTAAAATATTTTGGTCATCACTATCTTGTAAAATAGCTAATTCTTAAATTATATCACATACTTCATTTAATTCACTACTAGTGAGATTCTCCTTTTGATGCAAACATTGTGATCACATGTATTTATATCGTTTTTCCCTTTTTTAAACATATTTTTAATTATTTTCCTTTAAATTATTTTAGAGTATTTGACCAGGTCAAATACTCCTCCGGTCAATTGACTGAATTTGACTGGTCAATTGACCAACTTGCCAACCCTGGTAATAACTGATAATGATAATATAAGCATGTTATACTTGTAATACAAGGAATCACAAATAGAAACATCATATAAGTATATCAGAACAAATAGAGCAGTCGGAAAGTGGCTAAGTTTAGTAAATATTTTATTGGCCTAGCCAAGATATTAGTCGATGAAAAAACTAAAACTGAATTTATAAGTATATCAGAACAAATAGAGCAGTCGGAAAGTGACTAAGTTAAGTAAATATTTTATTGGCCTAGCCTAGTCGATGAAAAAACTAAAACTGAATAACCGTAACCTAATTAGCTGCTATTGTCAAAAAACTAGATTTCGCAGTTAACAACAATATCCGTAGCATAAAATTTGTCATAATTAGCCGTGATTATAAAACAGGTTGTCGATTTAGCCATAGCCATATCTATAAAAAAATTTAAAACATCTTTTTATCGCCATTTCCACTTTTAGAATAGGCCGATTTTCACTCTATAAAATTTTATGTCTCATATTAAAGGGCATTTAAAGATATATAATATAATCTGGAAATCAATAAGCAAACCTCGACGGATTATTAGATAGTTTTTAGAGAAATGGGGTCTTACGATAAGTCATAAAATACATTTCGTATTTAGGTCATAAATAATTTGTATGAATACTTATTTTTTAAATAAGGTAAAGTTAAGATCCACTTATTAAATTTCGGTCTGGTCTCGACCAATGAGGGATAGTAAGCTTCAGTATTGGAATATAAGGCTTAATTTTAAGATCAAAGTTTTAATCATGGTAAGCTATAAAAAAAATTAACTACCTCGATGAGCCCTGATTTTTCAGTGTACACGTTTATCATGGCGTTATGGTCTAGGAAAAAATTAATTTTGTATTCGGAAGCTTGTGGTGGGGAATCATTGTGAGATGCGGATAGAGAATTTTGGATTTGATTGGAAGGTGAAGACCGGATTATCCCCATTTGTATAACTTTGGCTTCTATATATTTCATCTTGGTAGCGGCTGATAGTAATATATTCGTGATATCAATTACAAAATATTAATATATATATTTATTGCAATGTCTTTATTTAAATATGAAAATCTTATTCTTTAAATCCGTGAATTCAAACCGTTTTAATTTTATTTATTAATATACCTTCCTATTTTTTATCAATCAATTTTAAGTTAGTTAATTAAGTGTTGAAAAGAAACTGCAGTAAAATCTTCAAGAGGTGACCAACCTCTCAGGAGAGGTTACGTTTTGGTTAACACGAATAAATGGTTGACATGGAAAAGTAGCCGATGTACAGAACATATTTTGACAGGGGATCAATCTATATGGGTCGCAAAGTAAAGAGATGACAATATTTAGGACCTTATTGTATTCTTTAAATAATCCTGAATATATGACATTTTAGTGTGGCAGTAACTCTTCTTAGGATCCAAGCCTTGAGTCAGTGTGCTAAAAGTATATCCCTTGCATCGGACCTATTTTTCAGGGTTGACTTAATCTGGGAATTTTTCCCAAAGATTCGGGTCCATTCGACTTTTTTTAAAATTGGATTGTTGAAAATGTAAGATATTTCAACGAGAGCCAAAAAAAATTCGAAGCGCTGAGGAATAATAAAAAATTTTAGTGTTAATCTTGAAATAATATTCATAAAAGAATTTTGAAAATTAAGCAATTTAAAATTTAGTTGTGGTTCGAATCCGAAATAAATTTGAAAAAAGTTCCGAATCGAATTAGTCCGCTCGAATCAGTACGTGCAGGGCTCTTAATTTAAATCAAACTTTTTAAAATAAATCAGATTCTTTTTAGAAGTCGAATTTTATATAATTAAACAAATATCAAGTAGAGGTGGGCGCTGGCTTGATTTCTTTTCACGGCCCGTTCGCTCACAATGGCAAAAGAATCATGCTCCCCCTCACGAAAGACAATATTTTAATCACGCCCGAAGAATTCACGGTGTTTATAAATTTTTTAAATTTCAAAGCTTTATTGCTACTTTTACACTTTTTTGAATTTATTCTATTTTATTTCTTAAATTCCATATTAATAACAAACAACAAAATTACCATTTATATTAATCATTTTTATTTTAAAAAAGAAGAATGTCCATTTTTTTGATTTTAATTGTATTCGCCTTTCCTCTAATAAGCGATTGGCCAGAGAAGAAATAATTTTTCACTGGAAGTCGAGCTGGGGCTGATAAAATTTTATAGCAAATTTTCTCAAAAAATAAATGAATTTCCCTGTTTCCAAAACTCAAAATATTTTCATTGTTATTTGTTTTGTGAGCGATAAATCTTTTAAGTTCATCCTCATAACTTCCATCGGTAGATGTTGTCGCCTCAACTGAATAATCTAAATATTCTCTAAATATTTCATTTAGAATAAGCAGTTGTGCAAGATGAATTAGAAAAGTTAAAATTGTTAGTTGGCATGGTCTTATGCATATCGTCGAATTTTAAATCATTTCGCATTTTCAAAGCTTATATATATCTGCCTTTCTTTAAAAAAAATGTATTTAATAAAACAATGAAAAAAAAATGGTAAAAAAAAATCATGATAAAAGACATAATGTTTTTCAATTAAACAATATATATTTTTAAAAAGTCACTAGAAGAAAGTGGAGGTGTACTGTTTAGAACTAGAACTAATCTGGAATCAGAACCCATTTTAAAATTTTAGGAAGTTGTTCTAACAAAAAAGAAAGAAAGAAAGAAAGAAAGAGTGTAATGATGTGTCTAGGGCTGCACCAATTGGCTTGGCTATATAAAAGTATAAATTACGAAATTGGCACAAGTTTGAAAAATATTTTTCCAATACATAACCCTTGGAATGTTAATAACATTTAAAGAAATATAGTTATCAAACAAAAATTATTTTAAGGAGGGGTTGGTAGCTGCAAATAAAATCAGGTTATGTTTTGGAATAGGAAAAACCAACCAATTTTTGGAAATCGGTACAGCAATAGTTGAGCCATTTATTTTAGAGGGTTTACTCATTGTTTAATTTTTTTCTATATTGCTTTAACAGACTTGGAACCGAAAATGCGTCAAATTTAAGTATTAGAACCAACTTTCTTTAAATAGAATAACCCGTATCACTTTTTTTAAAAAAAAAATATTCGAAACAGGAATCATTTTTGGTCAGGTTCAAAAAAAAGTGTATAAGTTGTAGATGTGGAGATCTTTATATAAATTCATTTTTTCCGTAAATTTAAGGGAAGGGTTACAACCCTAGAACTCTCCGCGAAATCCGCCACTCATTACAATGCATGGTCTAGTAAATAGTAATTTAATAATAAAAAAAATTCTATAAAAATTAATAATAATTTCATGCATTAATTCGATTCTTAATGTTTGATGAATTTATAAAATTTTCGCTTTAAATTTTGGTCTATATCTATGATCCCAGGGGCCCAGAACAAAGTCATTTTTGCGTTCCTGTTCCGAAAAAATACATATGTTTCGTTCCAGGTTTTGGAATGTTGGAGAACACGTTCCTAAAAAATAATTCAACTTTATTTCTTATACATTAAGCTCGTACAAGATTTTTGCGTTTTGATTACAAGTTCATATTATATGTAGGTAAATATAATTTGAATAAGAAAAAGTTAATTGACTTACACCATATACAAATGTCGTAATAATTGTAAACGGTGTTAAGGAATTCATGCAAGTAAGGTCTCATCAATTCGCTTCCTCTTTCCGCGTATGATTTGTGATCTTTGTTTAGGAAATTTTTTTTTTTAAATATATAAATTATGTATACAGAAAACAATATAATGTAATTTATGGGCAAAAATATTCCTCATGATTTATTTACAATAGAATAATTTCATCCAAAAATATTATTTTTACGTTATTTTTAAAAATTTGCTTATTTTCATTATAAATTATACCAGACATAAAAATTATGGAACGCTATAGGAATGAAAACGGTGATTCTGACATCGTTAAGGGAACTTCCAAAAAATAATATGAAAATTTTATTTTTATTGCCTAATTAAATTAGGTAACTCATTGAAACTTGGGGAAATTTTTAATATTATATTTATTAAAATAATAAGTAAGTATGTTATCGTTGGATATTGGTGGAAATTTTTTGATGTAATAATAATTCAAAGTTTCATTACTCAAAAGTTTTAAGAATTGCTGTTCAATTGGCGTAATTTTAAATTATTCTTTTTATTAAAAAATAATAATATACCATTGTCTGGATTTTAGTGAAATTAAGGCGAGCATCCCCAGAACTGGAAGAAAATATACCTTTCATTTATTATGTGAATATTCTTATTTGCGTAATATTAAAAATGTCAAATAAGTAAATTAATTAAATTTTTAAATGATATAGATTTATATAGAGCTATTTATTTTTTTCCTTAAAATTATATATCTCTATATATATCAGTTTATATATTATGTTTATTCAAATAAATTGCTTAATTATAATTAATATTAAATTTCAAAGGATAACTTTGTTACCAACTTAGTATTCAGAGTAGTGTTGTTAAAGTAACTAGTACTTGTAACTAGTTACATTTTTGCAAAAATAACTGTAACTTGTTATACATTTTGGAATGTAACTAGTTACTTTTTAAAATATTCATATATATTATTAAAATATATTCAAATTATTAATTTTATTCTTAATATGTTATATTATAATGAATTAATTTTAATTAATTTAAAATTTTGATTAAATATCTGATTCTGTATGTTAGCCTTTTTTATAGAGTTAATATTGATAAATGAATTAGATAGATTCAGAATTATAATCGTAGCCTGAATTTTGCTAGGGGGAAAGCACCATTATGTAAATTTTGCCCCATAAATATTATTGGTATCACTTTTGTAGGCCTTTGTCTAAGTTATATTTTTACAAAAATAATTTTGTCTTTGCTCTTTAAATTTTGAATTATAGTGGTTATTTTTAAAAAAAATTATAACTTTTACTCATTTTTCTTTCGAATTCTTGCTTATAGTGTGATATATTGAATGTACAGAATTTAATATGAATATTGCTCTGACTCGTCATTTAATGAGGATGACATTCAAATGATTCAGAATGATAAAATAGAAAATGTACCATCCCTTTCTAAAAGTATTACCAAAGCAACAGACTTAGATGTGAAAATACTTTAGCCATGTTTCAAAAAGTATTTTGGATTTCACATAAAGAAAACTGGTATTCCAGGTAATATTAGCGTTAAGTATTTTTTATATAGTATTGTAAAACGGCTTAATTTAGGTCGATTTTTAAAAAGAACGATATTAAAATTTTAGCCAAAATAAGAGCCTGAAGATTTTGCACATAGATGGCAGAAAGGTTTGGACCTCTATTTGGCGAATCTCGACGCTTATATAATATAATTTGACTAAAATCTTAATCAAGCCGTTTTAAAAATCGAAGCAAATTGTACCATTTAACGACACTACTCCTACTATGTCTTCCAAAAAATGGTATTTTTCAGTATCTAAGTCATACACAGACAGGTTAAGGAAACACATTTCTATAAAATTATTTTCACCGAAATCTTAAGTGTACTAAATTTTAATTAGATGTACATGTAACAAGATTTTTGTTTGCCTAAATATTATATAGAATTATCAATTAGCAACATAAGATGTCAATCTTTTTATATAATTATATGAAAGCTTATATCATTGCCATATGAAAATGCCAACTTTTGTGGATTTACAAAATAAAGTGGGCCATATAAATTCTTATTAAATATGATGTTGTCCTCACACCAAGTGCTCCCGTAGAACGTTTTCTTACTTTAGAGAGGCTTATTTTTAAAGTGAAATAAGCGCATCCTTTAGACAGAAATTTTTAAAATAGTTTATTATTAAAGGCAAATAAAAATTTACTAAGCTAGAATTTTTATATAAATAATCAGTGCATATATATATTGTGAATCCTATATCAAATCAACAAAAAAAAGTCGATTTTCAACCCGACCCCCTTTAATTTTTCTTAAATTTTGTATACTGGTAGTATACACTATAAATAAGAAAAAAATGAAATTTTACCTTCCAACACTGTTTACCCGCTAAGATATGGCCGTTTAAAGCGCGGAAAAATGGTACATTTTTGACAAAATGCACCTCATTTATATCTCGAGAAATAATTATGTTAGAAAAATAATTTAAATTTTATTTTAGCTTAATAAAAGTTCTTTAAAATGACATAAAAATAAATATGATGGACATTTTATTAATATCGAAAACCGGATGTGTAAAACCGAAAATGGCCATAATTTTTTTTTCAAATTTTTTTTTCTGTAGATATATATCACACTGCTTTATATTTGTACAAAATCCTAGACTGGGATCAACATGGGTTTAGGAGTTATTACTCTTTATATGGCTAAAATTGAACAAATTTAACATTAATATCATCATATTTTAATTTAATGAATAGTTATGAAATAATGTTAATTTAAAAATTATGTCTAAATAATAGGCCCTTACTTTTTTTTATCTTTATAAAAAAAATGTGGCTGGGATAGTGAGCTGTTTAAAACTTTAGTTAAATCTTATCTCAAAATTAAAATTACTTGACAAAATAATTTAAATATTTTATTTAGCATAAGATAATCTACCAAAATTGAAATTCAACAATAAATTTTCCCCCATATTTTCAAAATTAAAAGAAAGGCTTAATATATTATTTGACGAGAATTCTATAGATTATAAAACATTCAAACAATGGATAGCAGTTGATCGAACTACCCTCAAAACACTGACAAAATCCGCTGATGAATTTGTAGATTATTTAATTGAATAATTAGACAATTTAATTCCTCATTTATTATAGCTTCACGATAATCATTAATTCGAAACTTTTTAAAATTCAATTTAAATGTTGGCGAATTCTTAGTTATTGCAGACTTTTCAGAAAACAATGCATTTATAGTGCAGAACCATGCACAAGGATTTAATCAGACCAATAATCAAGCCACTATCAACTCATTTATAATTTATTACCGTGAGAACAACATAATAAAACATGTAAATTTAGTGGTTATATTAGTTTGTTTAAAGCACAACGCATGTACATTTTATTTATTTTAAAAATTGATCGTATTATTGGAGCAAAGATTTAATAGAGTGGCTAAAATTTATTATTTTTCTGATGGAGCAAAAACCAATATAAAAATAATAGATTTAATTAATCTCTACAATCATGAAAATGATTTTGGGATAAAGGCTGAGTGACATTTTTTGAAAACCGCACAAGGTAAAAGTCCATGCGACATTTTGGGGGCCGTTACTAAACGGTTAGCAGCTCGAACAAGTTTGCAACGTCCATATGAATATCACATATTGACAACAATAGATTTATTTAACTATGCAAGAAATAATATCTATGGAGTAAATTATATATTTGTGAGCAATAACGAATATATGAACATAGAAAGTCATCTTGAAAGCAGATTTTTAAAAGCAAAGAGAATTTCTGGAACACAAAGTTCCAAGCTTTTATTCCCCTAGACGAAAACAAAAGTCATAATTTATTAAAATTCCTTGGATGATTATAAAATATGATATATTTTAATTATAAATTTTTGATTGTATTAAATGTAATGCAATTTGAGGCAAATAAAGTTATAAATATGTTTAGAATTATTTTGTCAAGTAACTTTGAGATAAAATTTAACTAAAGTGTTAAGCAAACTCATTATTCCAGCCACTTCTCAAAAATTTTGATAAAGATAAAAAAAAGTAAGGGCCTAACATTTACACATAATTTTAAATTAACATTATTTCATAACTATTCATTAAGATATTAATGTTAAATTTGTTCAATTTTAACCATATAAAGAGTGATAACTCCTAAACCCATGATGATCCCAGTCTAGGATTTTGTACAAATATAAAGCAGTGTGATATCTATCTACAGAAAAAAAATTTTGAAAAAAATATACCTTTTTTCTATGGCCATTTCCGGTTTTACACATCCGGTTTTCGATATTAATCAAATGTCTATCATATTTATTTTTATGTCATTTTAAAGAACTTTTATTAAGCTACAAAATAAAATTTAAATTATTTTTCTAACTTAATTATTTTTCAAGATATTTGAAAATAAATGAGGTGCATTTTGTAAAAAATGTACTATTTTTCCGCGCTTTAAACGGCCATATCTTAGCGGATAAACAGTGTTGGAAGGTAAAATTTCATTTTTTCTTAGTTATAGTATATACTACCAGTATACAAAATTTAAGAAAAATTGAAGGGGGTCGGGTTGAAACCTTGGTTGATTTGATATGGAATTCACCATATATATATAATATTCTGATATTTTATTTCGGTGTAAATATATTCTATTCTCTAAAAAATTTTTCGTGTAATTATATTTTTATACAAATAAATTGTGTATATTTCCTTTTAAATACCATTCATTAAGATTTGTAAATTGTAATTTTTTTATATTAAATAAAAAAAAATGATGCGTTATATAAATGATTTATAAAGTAACTTATAATTAATTACTCTTAAAATATAACTATAACTAGTTACCTTTTTATGTATATGACTAATTAGTAAATTTCAAAAGTAACTTTTAACAACACTAGTTGAGAGGTATTTTTTGACACTCAAATTTATAATAATATCACCGCGCAAATATAAATGACAATCTTTTAAAGAATGTATTAATTAATACTTAGATCTAATAACTGATCTATAGAGGCAACAAGCAACTAACACAAATTACT